CCGCCCCAGCCCCTACCTTCCGCAGGGCAGGAGCCATTTTGTTGGTCAGGGTGCCGGCCACGATCATGACGTCGGCCTGGCGGGGGCTGGCCCGGAACACCACCCCGAAACGGTCCATGTCGTAGCGAGGAGCCGCCATGTGCATCATCTCCACGGCACAGCACGCCAGCCCGAAGGTCATGGGCCACAGGGAGCTCTGCAGAGGGAGGGACGGGGCAGAGCTTTGTAACCCAAGTGCCACTTGTCACGCCGGGGAGACCGATCTGCTTCCCCACGGAGAGGTCTCCAGCTGTTCTCGGCCCGAGGAGGAGGCGGCACGAATCCACCTCTCCCCAGCCCCTCGAAGCTCAGGCCCTGCTGCTCCCAGGGCGGCTGCGGCGACTCACCCGTCGCGCCCAGTTGACCAGGTCGTCGAGTTTGGTGACAATGTATTCGCCTCTGCTGGCGGGGACGGAGGATTTCCTCTGCACGACCGCTGAGCTCTGCGGCTGGACTTGGACAGCGCTGAGGACAAAGAGCAGAGCGTGTCAGTCACCAAGAGTAACTGCAGAAGGCAGCTGCCAGCCTCGAGGAGCTGCGAGCCCATGAAGAACCCGTGGTACCTCACTTACAGCCAAGCCCAGAGCACCAGGCCAGAAGGGGCCTCGTGGATCATTGGGTCAAACCTTTCCCAGCAAAAGCACAAAATCTCACCCCCTCTGCACCTACCAGAGATTGTGTTTCTAGCAGGGCTTTTTTTCCCCTTGCTGTGGGGGAACTGTAGATTCTATGGCTCAGGCAGAGCCCCCCTGTTTGTTGTACCCAAATTCTGGAGGGTGCCGGGCGGGCTCGTCTCCGGGGCTCGCAGCCTGCCAGTTAATCCTGGCTTTTAAGAAGCAACACAAGGAAGAGACTGTGATGCAGATGCAGAGCTACAGCAAACAGGTTTCTTCCCCTGTGCCACCTGGGACCCCCCACCCACGGGGGATGGACACAGCCCAGGAACCCACCCCTGAGCCCCAGCGTTACCTGTCGGCACCATCAGCAGGTGT